CCACTGGCTGGAGTGGGGGGCACGGGGAGACCCCAGAGCCTTCACCACTGCTCTGCCCGCCTCTCTCAGCCCATCTGAGCTGACAGAGCAGCTGGGGCAGCTGGAGCAGGCCTGGCCACGGGCCAGCCCACCCCCAGGGCCGGGCACAGAAAGAGGAGTGAATAGCCTCTGTGTGGGGGAGGCCGGGGTCAGGGTCCAGCTGCAAGGAAAACAGCTGGGGGAGGGGGCAGCCAGTCACCCAGGAGCCAACCCTGCAGCTGCTGCTGACCCCCACTCTGGCACAGATGGGGAGAGGGGTACAGAGGGCCAGCCACACGCCCCAGCAGAGTCCGGGGCTCGGGCGGAGGCGGGACCCACCCTCTGTGACCAGCCCCCTCCACCACCAGCCCACAAGCCCCTCAACTCCCCACAACTCCCCACGGCCGGGAGCAGTTTGCAAGCAGGTGCTTGAAGCCCAGACCTGGGATGGGCCTCTGACGGGGCAGCAAAGTGGCCCAAATGTCCCCAGCCAGGGCGTGTCACAGGGTGCTGTGTGCAAGTGCTTGTGTACATGCCTGTGCACACGTATACGTGTGTCCGTATACGTGCGTGGGCTTGTCACTGCCTGTGTGTGCACACCAGGGGACCAGGTGGGGCCGCGTCTGTCCCCCAAGCGCACTGGGGGCTTGCACTGGCACCCGAGGCCCTTGATGAAGGCTACATCCTTTCCAACAGTTACCGGGCCACCCACTATGCACAGGAAATGGACACAGGGCCGCAAATTCCTGTCCTCAGGAGCATAGGCTCGGGGACTGGAGACCCACCACCACCGGGACAGGAACGTGTCCTGCAGCTAGGCACTTCACCCATCTCCACTTGTTCATCCCCATTTAGCTGATGGGAAAACCGAGGCACTAAGTGTCAAGTAGCTTGCCTTGGGCCCCTCAGCTAGGAAGTAAACTGGGGAAATGTTCTGGAGAAAAAGCAAGCAGGGCAGGGGAGGGGCGCAGGGGTGAGGGGATGCATTTTCAAAGCAGGTGGTCTGAGGAAGTGGGTGAGCAGGGGGCCGTGCGCCCCTCCCACCCCAGGTTCTCAACAGTGCCCAGAGCCAGGGGAGGGGGACCCAAGGTCTAGAGGTAAGGGAGCCAGGAAGTCACTCCCACCCTGGCTGCCCGCAGGGAGGGGTGTGTCAGCAGAGCCTTCATCCCCGGAAAGGGTGGAGAAGGGGGCCTCAACCCAAAATAGCCTGGGAATTTTCCACATGCCCTGCGTGTCCTCCTATTAGGTTCTCAGAGTCCAGCCAGGCACCAGGCTCTGGCCTTCCCAACCCCTCCCCCCTCAGCCCACCCACCTATCTGGGGACTCCAGACAACCCTGCAGACCTCCTGTGAACCCCCACCTCCTGCCCTCCTGCCCTGAGAAGCCAACCACTGTATCAAGGATGAATCCAGTCTTAAGCCAAAGAGCCAGGTGCTTACTACAAGGGAGGGGAGCTTTGGCAGTGTTTTCTCAGTCATTTACACTTTAGTGAGAGGGAGTTTGCAGTTTATTTCCCAAGACTCCATTGTTGGTAGCTTTCACACCTCTCCCTGAGGGCGGGAAGATGCGGGGCGAAGGGGGGGCTAGGGGAACAAGAACTGGGTTCGATCACGTTGGGTGCTTCTTTCTCAGTGTGGTTCTTGGCAAAGCCAGGCCACTCCAAGCCTAGGCTGAAAACTGGGGGTCTTGAGCCTTGCGTGGGTTTCTGGCTGGGGGAAGCCAGAGCTGGGCATCGTGCATGGGCACTTCCCAGCTGCAGGGCCAGACCGCTGCGGGCATGTGGGGATGGCTCCGAACCAGCCCACACAAGAGGAGGGGGGCCGGGCACTAGAGAACTAGCCACGGTCGGGGAAAGGGGACAGAGTGAGGCTGTGCCTTGATTCGCCCGATGCCCACTGCCCACCACCCACCGACTTCCGTGTCAGGCTCGCCACTGGGCATTCACCTCCACGAACCAGATTCATCCCCACGGTGGCACAGCCGGGGAGGTGCTTTTCTCATCCTCATTTTACAGGTGGGAAACTAAGGCCCAGAGGGTCGCACACTCTAGGGTCTCCGCGAGTCTGTGGGGTGGTGATAAAACGCAGACTCTGATTCTGAAGGGTGGGAAGGGGATTTGGCGGGTCTAAGGTGCTCCCGGGGAGGGAGGTGCTGCGGGGGCGTGGAACAGAGCAGCACCAGAGTGCCGCGGCTTGACGACCTGCCCACCTTCACAGCCAGTGGGTTGGCAGGTGTCAAGCCCGTGTGAGAGGTTGGAAGGGAAACCGGGGGGCGGACTCTGGGTGAGTCACAGTTACTCTAGGGCGCCCAGGTTCCTCCTCTGTAAACTGAGGCTGAGACTCGGTGACCCCCTCCCCACCTCCAGGCCAGCTGGGCCCCCACCTGGCAGAACGGAGGGCTGGCGGTGGAGGGGTGATCCACCGGACAGAGGGGTCCCAGGAAGCGAGAGAGGCCCCAGGAGGAGACCCTAAGTGGGCCTCGGCCACCTCCCACTCCATTGTTCGGGACAGAGCGGAGGGCCGCGGGGAGGGAGAGGATAGAGGGGAGGCCGGGGAGGGGCGGAGACCAGGGGAGGGGCGCGCAGTGGAGCTGGGGGCGGCGGGCTGCAGCGGGCCAGCCACGGCCGGAAGCCAGCAGGGCCGGCCGCAGAAACACAAACAAGGCGGGAGGGTGCCACCCGCGGCCAGACCCCCGGCCGGGAAGTGCCCTCCCGCCGCCCCTCGGCGCCCCAGAGTGCTGGGAAGAGGCCAGAAACCCGAGGACCGGCGGCCCGGGAACCCGATGCGGCGCCTCCAGCGTGGCCGCCTGAACCCCGCCCCGGAGCACCCCGACGGCCTCGCCGGGACCAGCCGCGCCCGGCGGAGAAGGTCCACCAGCGCCGCGCCCCCCCCCCCCGGGCCCCCGCCCCCCCCCCCCCCCCCCGCCCCAGCTCGTAATCAGAAGCCGACTCTGCACTCCATCACCCCCGGGGTCAGGCATTCCCATATTGCATCCTTGCCTCCAGCACCCCCTCCCCTCTCCGCGAGGGGCTTGGGGGAGCTGACGGGAGTTTTAGGCCTGACTGTGCTCTCCACTCCCCCTGTGACCCCTGGCAAGCGTCCTCACCGCTCCACGCCTGTTTCCTCATTTGTCAAACTGGACAGTAATGCAGCATCCCAGGCCCCCGGACGCGGTGCAGACGGTGCCAGCTACAATGGGCTCAGCCAACAATACTTGAGCCGCTAATGGTGGAACTGTCAGGCATGGGGCGATCTAGAATAATCCCTCCCATTGCTGTCCCTGCTGATGAGACACAAACCAAAAGCCCTGACTTGGCCACCCCGCGGGACAAAGAAAAGACGTTCCCCTCCCAGGGGAACCCACTCTCCACGTCCACCCAGGGCCCCAGGGCCCCGCTGGGTCTGGCTCAGCTCCACGCCATAGGGCCCTGTTCCTGTCCTGGAGGTGCTCCCGCGCCACCTGAGGGTGTGGGGGCGGGAGGACCGGCAGCCCAGCACTGAGAACCCGCCGTCACCAAGTCCCCCCGGGGAGCAGGAGCGCAAAAGTAGCTGGAGAGGGCCCTGGCCGAAGAGGGGAAGCTGCCTTGAGTCTTAAAAGGGTCACTTCTGGGGGGGGGGCGGTCATTCCTGGCAGAGGGACCTGCAGCGCCAAAGGCGTGGGGAGTGGGGGGTGGGAGGCGGCCGCGGAGGCTGGAGAAGGTCGCTTTGGAAGGTAACAGAAAGCCCTGTGGACAAGTTTGGGACTTAGACAATAGGGACATCAGCGGACGATTTTAAGGCGGGGGTTGATTTGAACCGGTTGTTTTTACAAGTTCCTTCTGGCTTCGAAGAGGCGAGAGGATTGGAGGGGCCAGACTGGAGGCGGAGACAGAAATATCAAAGAAGCAAGTAGAATATCTGACAGTACCTAATGCTTCTCCCGGGACTGGGTTAGCCTCCTCCTTTTATTCTCTCACACCCCGTTATGAGAGAAGTTATATCACTAGTCTACAAACTGGGGAAACTGAGGTGGGAGGCCTCCTCTTACGCAGTGAAGACACCTCCACCAACGGGAACGGAGGCCCTGCCTGGAACCGGCTGATCCCCGCTCCCCCCACCCATACACACATCCACTCCAACCCCAGATAAGATGTGGGGGCCGGGGGCTTTCTTTTTAAAAAAATCAAAAAACGCTGCATTTCCGGCCTGCAAACGGGCTGCCGGCGGGGCCCTCGGGGAGGGAGTCGGCGGGCGCGGGTGAAGTTTTTCTGCTCCGCCCAGAGGCCCCCCATCCGGGCGCAAACACCCGGCGAGCGCCCGGCGGCTCCTCCTCCCCCAGATGCGGCCAATCGTGCGGCGCCAGGACGGCTCCCTCCGCCCCAACCTCCCCAGCAACCGGGGTCCCACCGCTCGCGCCGCCCCACCGGGCTGGGGAGTCGGCGCCCCCACCCCGCGCGGCGCCCCCCGCTCCGTCCCTCGAGTCCCCCACTCGCGGTCCAGCCCACGGGTGAAAGCGAGGGGAGGCTGTCCCTGCACGCCGCAAGCGCTGCCCGACGTCCGCCCCAAATCCCTCCCGCTGCTGCCACACCCGCCCCCTTCCCGGGGATGAGTAACCTGCTCTCCCCAAACAGGCCGCGGCGGCCCGGGCATTTCCTCGGGGCCTAGAGACCCAGCCCGGAGGCCCCTGCCGGCGGCCAGGAAGACCCTCCAAGAGGGGGCTGGATGCGGGCGGCGGCCGCCAGGAGGCCGAGGTCCGGTCCGAGCTCCCGCCGCCCCGGAGAGGACACCCCGCCACACCCCTCGGGGGGACCCGGAGAAGCTCCCTACCTGCGATGCGCTCCGTTCCGCCAGCTGCTCGGCTGCAACTGCGAGCGCCCGGGAGCTGGGGAGGGGGCGTGGCCCGCGGGGGCGGGCCGGTCGAGGCCCCGCCCCCACGCGGTCCCAGCCAATGGGGCTGCGGGCCGGAGCGCCGGACGGCCGGGTTAACGCGGCGCGCGGGGGCTGCCCCGACGGGAGCTTTGTGTCAGCGCGCGGGAGTGGCGGGAGCGCGGGACGCCCGGCTGGCGGGGGAGCCGGGGGGCTGCCGGCCCGTGCTGCCCGGCAGGTCGGGAAACTCCCCAGAGGAGTGGAGGGCTCGTGCGGGTCCCTGCCCTAACCACCCGCTGCCGGTCCGGCCCGAAGCTGACCTTCGTTCCAGAATGCGGAAGGCCCGGGGCGCCTCCATCTTGGCGGAGAGAAAGAGCTCCGGGAAGGTCGAGAAAGAAGGAAAAGAGAGGTAGAAGGGAAACAAGCCAAGAACTGAAGGGAAGAGGGCAGGAAAGGAAGGAAAAACAAAAACAAAAAGTGAAAGCTATTGATTTGTTCTCTTTTTTTCTTAATTTGCACTCCTAGAGTCCTTGAGTCCTGTGTCTGTGCAGGTAAATGACAAGACTCTCGTGTAACAGGAGAGGAAACAGGCACAGAGAAGTGACACCTCCCTGGCCCCACCTAGTCACAGCGCGTCGCAGCAGGAGGGGCCCCTGAAAGCGAGCCCAGCCCTGGACCGAGGCTCAGGTTGGCCGAAGGGGGAGGGATCCCAGAACTGTCCTGGGACTCTAGGCTCTGCTGAAGCCCACCAGCACTGCCTGCCTCTCAGTCTCTCCCTCTTTCCCCCTCCTTTCCTCCTCCGATTGCCTACAAAGAAGAGACCGCTGAGGACACAGCAAGAACACAGCTGTCCACAAGCCAGGAGGAGGGTCCTCCACCAGGAACGGAATTGCCAGCACCCTGATCTTGGACTTCCCAGGCTCCAGAACTGTGTGAGATGTCAATTTTTGTTGCTTGGGCCACCCAGTCTCTGGTGGTTTTGTTACAGCAGCAGGAACAGCCTTTCTCTTTGTTCTCAACTAACCACAGTCTCTGAAAATTTCACACCCAAGTTTGGTGCAGTTCTGGGCTACAGTTTTTCACTGGGTGGGCCGCCAGGCTCTGTCTGGGGTGCTGAGCATCCAGAAGTAAAAAGTGCCCACCCAGTACCCGCCCAGGAGGAGTCCCCTCCTGTTGAGACAGCAGGCGGGTGCATAAGGAGGATGTCAGGTGGTGGGCTGGGTAAGCCTCTGTGGCGCAGTGAGGGCCCTGCCCTCGGCCCTGTCAGATAAGACCAGTCCCAGGGAGGAGTTCTCTCTCCCAAATTGTCATGGCTTGAGCCTCCTGCGACCCGAGACATCAGCCCACCATCATGACCCCATCCGATGGCACTAGCCTAATGGTCAGACTTGAGCCAGCAGCAGATGAGGAGATCTGGCCTAACTTTTCTGCCCAATAAGGACCAATTATCTATTCAGCCACCTGACAAGTATTTATTGCACTTGAGCTCTGTTCCAAGCCTGGGACTAAACAAAACTTGTGTGGGTTCTGTCCCCGCCCCAGGGGGTTATAGTCTAAGAGGGGAAGCAGGGACTCCTGGGTGGTGCAGTCAGTTAAGCATCTGCCTTCACCCCAGGTCATGATCTCAGGGTCCTGGGATCATGACCTGAGCCGAAGGCAGTTGCTTAACCAACTGAGCCACCCAGGCGCCCCTAAATAAATAAAATCTTAAAAAAAAAATGGGAGGCAGATGTTAAACCGGTAGTCACAATGGTATAAAATCCCGCTGTATCCGCAGCAAGGACAGTCACTGGGATGGAGAAGCCAGGAAAGTGCTGGTTGGCCTGAGATCTTCTGGAAGATCAGGAATTAGACAAAGGAAAAGACATTCCTGAGGGAGATTAGAGCAAGTGCAAAGGCCCTGAGGCAGGAGTGTGGTGGGGCTAGAACTCAGGGAGAGAGAAGAGGGAGTGTGAGGTATGGTAACAGGAGCCAGAGTGGACAAAATTTATGGGTCTCCATTAGGAAGCCTCATCTTTAAGAGTGCTGGCCGCCAGGGAAGGTCTAAGAGCAGGGATGAAGTGGAGACTCCTCCACCCACCTGCCCCCCGTCCCCCCCCCCCCCCGTCCCTTCCCACCATGACTGGGGCCTCTTCCATCTCACCAGGAGGAGCGGCCTCCTGCCATGGCTTGTGCCTCCCCCTAATGTCGGTGCCTATGCAGCAGCCAGAGTGAGCTTTCAAAAGCATAAATCCAACCATTGCTAAAGAAAAAAATGACTTATGATACTTGTTAAAACTGTAAGACGGACTTTATTCAGGACTGTCTGAAGGTGCAGGGACCACAGCTATGGGACTTTGCCCTAAGGGAGAGAGATGGAGCTCAGCTCCGAATATGGCATGGAAAAGTGGGGATTTATATAACCAAAGAGCGGGGTCAGCGAGTGGGGAATTGCTAGGAGGAAGTTTCGGAGGGAAGGGGGGATTCTGGCTAAGCTGACCTGGCAGGATTCTTGCAGAAGACGAAAACAGGCCAAGGCAATCAGGCATCCCCTGGGAGGTGGCAGGGGATGAGGAATTTGGTGAGATCTTGAGGGTAGGGAATTCTGGCTAAACCAGCTTGACGGGATTCTTGCCAAAACTGGACTCTCCACGGACAGGGTCGGAAGCTCACGTTCGGACCTAGTAGAGCAGAGGGCTCAGAGGGACCTACATACAGTTTGGCCAGGGAGAGAATCTTTGTCACCATGTCCTTCCCCTGCTCAAAACCCTTCTGTAACTCCCTGTTGCTCATTAAATGAAAGCCAGACTCATCTGCTGTTAACACTTCGGATTGACTTCACATAAGAAAACTCCAGTAAGGAGCGTGAGCAAGCTGGAGGTGTAGACCTGTCAGGTAGTAGACAGGGGTGGTATGCCTGGGGTTGATAATGGCAGGTCTGGAGTCCTCAAGGACTGGGTGTCTCTTCAACAGGTACCCCCTCTCAGCACCTCCATTTTTCATCTGTAAAATGGGGACAACATCAGCACCTATCACAGTAAAGGTGGTTGTGTTGTAGAAGTGAGAGAATTCATGGATGCCTAGGACACAGCCTGGGACACTGTAAGCATTATGTTTTTTTATTTGCTTTTTAAAACACTTCTTGCTTAAATCTAGGTGTCACCCTTGTAATGACAATAGCTGCCCAGTTCTGCTCCCTACAATGTGCCAGGCACACTAGACACCATAATGTGTGTCAGAGCTGGTGACCGGCACAAGCTTCTTAAAACCTTATCACAACCCAGAAGAGTTGTCGTCCCATTCTACAAATGGGGAAATGGGGCCCAGATCAGCAATGCAACTTACCCAAGGTCACACAGCACTAACTGGACAGGCCGAGATTGAATGTCGCCATGTGACACCCCAAGGTGCTCATTCCCCACGCCATTTAGACCGAATTCCCTCCCCCCCCCAGGGTATGACACACACACACACACACACACACACACACACACACCCCACACACACACACACACACACACACACCACACACACACACACACACACACCCGAGACAGGGGCCTGGGATGGGAGCTCGGGCTCTGGGAACACCTGCTTTTCCCTGCCTAGTGCTCTTTGTCTCTTTTGGCCTGCTACTTTCTGGACAGTCACGTCCCTGTTCCTGGTCTGCCTCCAGCCACTGCCCGTCCATGTAGCAGCCCCAAGCGGTCTTATCAGGTCTCAGCACTCTCTGCCAAATCTCATGTCCCTCTGCTCCCACCGTTGCAACCCCACTGGGTACCTCAGGGCCTTTGCACATGCTTTTCCCTCAGCTTTTCCCCAATACTCTCTTACCCCACATCTTCTCAGGCTGCCTCTTTCTGGTCATTACACCTCAGAAGAGGGGACCCTCTGCCCACCCTGAACCAAATAGGGTACCCCTAAAATGTGTGCTCCCCAGCGCAGGCACCTTGTCTGCCTCCCTTGGTTTTGTATGCCTGATGCATAGTAGGTGCTCAGTAAGTACACGTTGAAGAAATAGGGGCCGTGGCAGTATCACGGGATGCAGTGAGTTATGTCAAGGATGAGGGGCCTGACAGATGACTAGGTTTTCCCTTCTGTAAAATGGAGCCAGGAGAGCCTGCAGTTGAGGAGGAGTTGGGTGGGGAGGCCAGTGGAGTGCTGCACCTGGGCTGACCCGGTCCAGGCAGCTCTTGAGGCTGGAACCTGCTCAGGACGGGGTCCAAGTCAGTTGGCCATGCCTGCTAGCTGAAGGAGAAAAAAGATGGGCCCAGGAGCCCACCTGTGTGCACACACCCCACGCCCAGATACCTTGTCTGCATAGCTCTCCCGTGCAGACACACAGACATGGCAAGTCCCAGACACATAGCCCACCCCAGATGAAGGGAGACACACACTCACACACACACAAATATCTCTACGTGCAAACCTGCTCTGCACACAAACATCATGCAGATGAGACACGCCCCCGACCCAACAGGACCCACATCACGAGCAACATCAGCATCTTCCCACACGCACATGCAGACAAAAGCGTGCATAACCATGCACCCCCGCCACACAGCTCCTGAGGCTCTCCCCCAGACCCCAAAAGCTTTCTCTGTGTAGAAAGTCCCCCTCTCCTCCACCAGGCAGGCCTCGGGGGCTCTGTCCTAGAGTTCTGAGGGCAGAGGATGGATGGCGGCCACCCAGGAAAGCACCTGTCACCCCCTCTCGTCGAGGCGCCTGCTCTTCAGTGAGAGGGCCTCCAAGGGCACACAGAACAGGAGGAACCCCCCGCTTTCCTTTCCTGGCCCCAGTGGGCAGGGGGCTTGGGTGTGAGGCGCCTCCGGCAGTGCACACCTCCTCACATTCCTCCAGCCCCCAGCTCGCCCCAGTCTGGGCGAAAGAGGAAGCAGACGGGGTGGTTGGCAGAGCTGGAAATTCAGCTCAGAGAGGTTAGGGGATGCCCCGAGTTGACCCAGCAAGTCCCCGCCCAGGACTCCCAGCGCCCCCGCAGACACAGCAGATGGAAGGGAGGGCTCTGGGGAAAGCCCCACGCCACACCTGCCCAAGAATGACGGTTACAACTCATTCCTCCGGGGTCCTTTCTCTTCCCGTCACCTCCTTGCCCGAGGTGGGCCCTTCTGGGAGGAGAGGATGAGCAGGAAGCAGAACGAAGGAGTTGCATTGCCTTTTTCTTTTAAGCAGGCCCCAGCTGCAGAGCCTTATTGCTCAAGAAGATAGCACAGCCCAGAGAGGGTGAGTAAGGTGCCCAGGATCACACAGCAGGAGAGGACCAGGGGGCCTCCCAGGACCCTCAGCTGCCAAAAGTCCAGGCTCATGCCATTCCTGGGATGGCCTGCCTCCAGCCCTGGCTTTTATGACTCTGCTTATTATTGTCTTGCTTATTAACTTTATTGATTGTGAATGCACTGCAAGCTTTCTACGTGCCAGGCACAGAGTGAGGTTCTTCACATGGATATCTTTCATTCATTATTCATGCAACAAAGTTTGATTGAGCACCTGCTGTGTCCTGGGCACTGTGATAGATCCTAGAGAGACAAATATGAACAAAACTAACGAGGTCCCTGCTCTCACAGAGCTGACATTTTAGGGTCAACAGACACTGACCAAGTAACCGAATACATGAACCTGTTCATTCCAGACACAGCTCGCTGGAGGAGCATTCGGGTGCAGAACAGCAAGTGCAAATGCCCTGGAGCAGGATGGAATAGACTGGAACATAGGCATGCCTAAAGGATCAGCCAACAAGGTAAAACTGTCTATGAAATTTTCCTAACCTTCTGGGCAGCAAGGATTATTATCAGACCCATCGTGCAGGGGGGTGGAGATGCCTGCTGGGGGTCACACAGTTGCGAGCGACAGAGCCCATACTTTAACAGCTGCTTCCTTTATGCTAGGCATTATTTTGGGGATTCAAAGGTGAAAAATGAACAAACAAAAACCTGTCCTCCAGGAGCCCTTGAGCCTGGTGGAAAGCTGATCCTTAGAGAGGAGCCCCCAAGGAGCTCAGCCGGGCCTCCTGGCTCCCTCACGGGGGGCCCCGTGTCTGGGTGCCAGAGACTGGGGTCTAAGCCAGCTCCACCACAGCTTGGCTGTGTGGCCTTGGGTTGGCCTCATGCCCTCTCTCCTTCCAGCCTGGCCTGAGAGATTCAGGGTAGGACAGGAGTTCTCAGGCCCAAGGCAGCCTTGAAGAGCACTGGACAAGCGCTGAAGGGAGGTGGGACTCCAGAGGAGGGGCAGGGTGGGGACCCCGGGGCCCCCAGAGCCCAGAGGGAGGAGGCCAGGCTGACTTGTGCAGCCTGATGCTGCCCCCTGGTGGCAGTGGCCAGGATTGGGGGGGAACGATGCTGAGAGCCCAACCCATCAGCTCCCTCATTCATTCACCCTCAGAGGGTCCCAGTGCAGAGCCGCAGCCTGGATCTCAGCCCTGTGTGAGGGGGACCGCCGTCCCCAAAATCTCCCAAGAAGGAGACTGTACCCAACCCTGTCTCGCATCTTGTATAGCCTCAACCTTATACAAGGACCCTGTTTCCCAAGGTAGGATATCCAGGGGATTTTAAGCCAAATGGGGTGTGCTGGATGAGAGGAGCATGCAGCTCATTTGTTCCTTCGTTCATTCACTCATTCATTCAGTCATACATTCAACCTACATTAATTGAGCACCTTCTGCATGCCAGGCTCTGGGGGATGCAGCAAACCTTAAATCTCAGGCACCGATACATACAGGGGTGTGGACAGGCTCCAGAGGACATGCCCCCAACCCTGCCATGGAATAGAGAAGTGATGATGATGACACCAAGTGGAGGCAAAAGGGACTGGGCACATGGGCAGGAATGCCAAACCGGAGGTTTCAAGACTCTAGGGTGTGGGCGCCACAGTTACTGGCAAGAGCAAGAGAGAGAGATCAGAGGGACTGCTGAGGAGGTGGGGCTGGAGTCAGGCCCCCACCAGAGAGGTGATGCCCATGACGACAACACCTTTGTGGGAATTAAGGAAGCGCTTCCTCAAGATGCATCTTTCCCCCATCAGCTGAGAAACAGTTGTAATAGTGCACAAATCTCTTGTACTTATGATGTATGGGGCACCTGTTAGACCATGCACCCCCACCTGCGTGCCCAGACTGCCCCTCCCAAAGACGGCACCTTCAGGTTTACCCCGCCTCACAGCTGGCATCCTGAGAGTTGCTGATGCTTGGAGGAAGTTGATCTCGTTAAGGAGGAAGATGTGCAGCCTGAGAGCACACACCCAATCTCTCCCTCCCAGTTTCCTGCTGGAGCAACCTAACCTCTGGAATAACTGTGGCCCGCAGATGGCGCTGTGGGAGCCGGCC